CAGATTCTCAGAGATTTACAGGCTCTATATAAACTCCTACTGCTTTGTGATTTTGCTGAAACACGCCTAAACATTAAACTGCCCTTTCCTCCGACGTCATTAAGCTGTTTCCATTTCTCTCCCCAAAAAAGAAAAAACAAAACTTCAATCTTAACCCTTTATAGAGCAGGTTACTGTTTTTGATCACTTGCTTACCCCTTCAGTAAGGTCTAGAAGCACAATATCTATATCCAGCCATTCAGCAAAGATGCTGCTACATGACTGTACATGTTATTTTGGCATTTGACCAATCAGATGAGCCCTTGAATGATATATTACCTACTGGAAATTAAGTTAACAAGTCATGAAAGAAAGGTAAAAAGCCAACTGAAAGTTAAAAAGTTAATAAGCTTAGTTGATTATATTTAGGTTTATAAACTAATAAAATGTAAGTTCCAGTATCAGCATTATTGCCTCTAAGGTTATGTTGTACAGAAAAAAGTGTTTCTTTTACCCCATGAGTGTTTTTAATGAATTTCTTTAAGAAGCGAGTTTTGTTATTTTTCTTAATATATTCAGGCTAGTTTGCATTTCTTGTTATTACATTGACATTCATTTTTGCCATCAAAATATCCAGATTTTTTGAATATTACAAAGGTAATAAGGTCTTGTCCTGGAATCCAATAATAACTGAGTGCCTTATAAAGGGTTAAGCATTGATATTACATTTTATTGTTCTCAGATGGTTCCTTTTATGCGATTGGCCTTCCCTGCACATTTTTGCCCATCTCAATTCATCAAGAAAATTGACCATTAAGAAGAATCAAGCTGCAATATGTTTCTTTTGAAATAACAAACATGTTTCTTCAAGTCATCATGGTGCCATTAGCTTAAAAGACTCCCTCTCAACAGTGTGTGGGTGGTCTTCTGAAAACGCTTTTTTTTTTGCATTCTCTTTTTTAAACTAACTGGGTTTCAAGTATCCCTCTCCAAGCCTCCACCTACTGTCCAAATATTACATCGTCTGGGTCCAAAAAGACCAAGATGCAGGCAGTCCAGGGGGAGCCTGGAAACCATCTCTGGTGGCATTGAGGCTTTCTTTAAACTCGTCATCAACAATAAGCTACAATCAGATAAACGTGTCAAAAACTTTTTAATGTTTGTAGGATGTCTGCAGCTCTTCTACTGGGAGTTCAGCCATGATGTGGGGGTGGAGGTGTGGATGCTGAACACTAATTATGAAACAATACCTTTACATAGTGAGTCATAGGAAAAAGTTGTCAGAAATTTCCACTTAGTCTACTGGATCACTTGAAGACCCTGCAGTGCATGGAGCGAACCACTTTAAAGCCAAAGCTGTTGTTTTGTCTCATCTCTCCACCCGCGTTACATTTCCTGTCTGGGCTCAGGCCCACCTGCGGACTGTGATATGTCAGAGCTCAAATATTCCCCTCTGTTCCCTGGAGTACTTCTCCTCCCAGACGATGCAGCCCGGCTGGCCACAGAGGCATCCCCGTGTTGCCGGCCAATGGCCTCTCCTGAGGACTCAGTCTAAATATAGCTTAGAGGCGTGTGTGGGAGAATAGCTGTGAGTTCAGAGCAAATAGCTGCAGTCTACATGCATCTGAAAATAACCTTTATTTCTGTTTTAATAACCTGTATTTGGTTTCTTAAAAATAGGTTTAGAAAGTATCAGTTTGCCATATTGACATACTGCCACCACCGTGCATTAGAATGGGGAAAACATCTTTAGGTGGGAATAATACAAGTTTGTAAAGACATCCTTAAGCTCAAACGGGCATCTTCAGAAAAATCTGACAAGAATTTTAAATCTGCATTATTTTGGAGTATATATTTTTACGTGACTCCAAAAGTAGCAAAAAAAGAAAAACTTAGACTAAGTTTCTGAGTCTGAGAAAAAAATTTAATTTGTCTTTTTTTTGTAAACTGTAACATCTTCAGCTTTGGGCTCTCTGTAAATGTTCTTAACAGAGAGCAGGATTTATCTCACCAGACTTGCCAGAAACTTCCAATGCAGTAGGGCTGCAACTAACCATTATTTTGTTAATCGATTCATCTGTTTATTATTTTGATTAAAGGATTAATAATCGGATAGCAAAATGTTCCTTAAGGAATTTTTTAGAGCATTAAACCAGGTGAAACTACAACTTTTTCACTTGTGGAGTTCTATATAGAGCATACAGACAAACAAAACCATATTTTTTGTTTATCTTAAATCCAAAATATCTGTTAATAATTTTGGTATAATTACTGATCTAAATGCGTTGCTCTGTCAGCTAAAGGAGTCTCTATACTCCAGTTAAAGATTAATCAATTATTAAATTAGTTGATGATTATTTCAATAATTGATTAACCTGATTGTTTCAGCCCTACAATGCAGGCAACTTTTAGCTTTATTAACATCTTAATGTCATAAGTACAACAAGAAATAAATGACAAACAAAGATGTTGGGAAGTTTAAAGCTGAACGAAAGACACAAGAAACGAAAGCAGGATAAAGAATCATCGATCAAAGTCTCCCGTCAGCAAGGAAATAACTTAGAGGGAACTAAATAAAGGAAAAAACATTGTCTACCACCTTTTCCATTCACTTGACTTCCCTAAATATCACTTGATATGGCATCTAGCTTAGCTTTCCTGCCCTGCTTCAGGTGGGTTAAGCTAAAAGGCTCCATACTGCATTTCACTGCAGTAGTTCAAACAGATTAGTAACAGCAGCTATTCAGAAGCAGAACAATTAAGCTGTGAA